CTAACCCTAAACCTAACCCTTACCTTTATGTGAATCGGCTTGCTTTAATTTTAATTCAATTTTTTATTTTTTTCGTCGCGCTGTGATGACGTCACATGCGCGCTTTCGTCGAGCGCGATTATGTCCTCCGCGGTTTTGACGGGTCACGTTAAAATTCTTTTCCAGAGAGAGGAAAGCATCTTTGCTACTCGCAAAGAGGAAATGTAGTCCTGGCCATTTGTTTTGCAGATGAAATTATTTGGTATTTTCTTTATGTCGCCTTCTCTCTCTCCCTCTTCTTTCTCTTCCTGTTTTACCATCAAATGGTTATTTCTGCCCTAGAAATAATGATCCTTGGAAACATCTGCTTTTCTTTAGGATAACTCTTCTCTTTGCCGATTTAATTTTATTTATTTATATTTAATTCTAAGAATTTATATGGCTGCCCATCCCATGGCAGTGATTTCATAGCAGAAAAAAGCAAGCTTCCCTTTTGGTAGCCCAATCTGGCAATTTCCCAGTGGGTTAAAGCTACAATGCTCATCACTTCTGGTAAGCCAACAATGTGGGGGAGCATAATATGTATTCAACTGTGAGAGGAAACAATGTACAGGTAATCCTTGACTTATGACCATAATTGAGACTGAAATTTCTGTTGCTAAGTGAGATGTTTATTAAGTGAGTTTTGCCCCATTGTACAACCTTTCCTGCCACAGCTGTTAAGTGAATCACTGCAGTTGTGAAGTTAGTAGCACAGTTGCTAAGTGAATCTTGCTCCCCCATTGACTTTGCTTGACAGAAAGTTATAAAAGGTTACACATGACCCTGGGACATTGCCACCGTCATAAATATGAGTCAGTTGCCAAACATCTGAATTTTGATCATTTTGACCATGGGAATGCTGCAATGGTCGTAAGTGTGAACAAAATGGTCATCAGCCACTTTTTTCAGTACTGTGGTAACTTTGAATAGTCACTAAATAAATTGTTCTAAGTTGAGTCTACCTGTATAATGAGACATAAACTATGAAGAGAACCAACAGGTTACTGTTTTCTTCTGTTTCCTGGCATATGAAATCCCTCTTGCTTATGAATCAATGCAAAGCAATCTTGTTTATCTAATAGAGTCCCTTGGTTTCAGGGGTATGTGCTATTGGAAAGCCCATGTGCCTGCTTTTCGAATATATGGCATTTGGAGACCTGAATGAATACCTGCGCAACCAATCACCACGTAACCTTTGTAACCCAAACAACAACAACCTGGAGCCAAAGATGAGGCCCTCCAGCCCTAATGTGCTCACTCTTTCTTGCACTGACCAGCTCTGCATCGCCAAACAAGTAGCAGCTGGAATGGCCTATCTTTCAGAACGCAAGTTTGTGCACCGGGATCTGGCCACCAGAAACTGTTTGGTCGGAGAAAATTTGGTGGTTAAAATTGCTGACTTTGGCCTCTCCAGAAATATGTACTCAGCAGACTATTACAAGGCCAACGAAAACGATGCCATCCCCATACGTTGGATGCCCCCTGAATCTATCTTCTATAACCGCTATACCACGGAGTCTGATGTCTGGGCCTACGGGGTGGTCCTGTGGGAAATTTTTGCCTTTGGCATGCAACCCTATTATGGGATGGCTCACGAGGAAGTCATTTATTATGTAAGGGATGGAAATATCCTGTCGTGCCCTGATAATTGCCCTTTGGAGCTGTACAACCTGATGCGCCTTTGTTGGAGCAAGTTGCCTTCTGATAGGCCAAGCTTTGCAGGCATCCACCGTATTCTGGAGCGAATGTACGAAAGGGCAATGGCTGCTGAACAGGTGTGAACTGTTCTCCGAAGGAAGGGACTCCCAAACGGAACCCTTTAGGTGTATTGGATAACAAATCTGATAATTCCCAGACAGACTACTGTAGCCCTATACATGGGGTTGGGGATGGGGAATTGGGTTGGGAAAGACAATTCTTGAAGGCAGCATGTCCTTTCTTCTTTCTTGAATGGTTATGTTTGGAAAAAGAAAGAACTTGCACTTACCACATCATCTGTCTTTGTCATTATGATTCAGGCAATGTTTCCCATCGGAAAGTGAAGCAGGGTCCAAAAGAGACATCGTTGCAACTTTTTTAAAAAAAACCCTCATCATCTAAATATCATTTTTCGTTTTAAAACTCTCAAATAAAACTTTTTGCTGTGCCTCGGAATCCAATGTGGCTAGAAAAGACATCCAAACGGATACAAAAAACAAAATAACAGTCAGCTAACTTAATAGCAGAACCTCAAGTACCAAATGAGCTGAAAGAACAGACAAGCTTCAGGTGTGTCAGGCTTCAGACTATTTCTGAAAACCCAATTCCAAACAATTTCGAGAATATCACTGTTGATTTTACACAGCTGTTTCTCTGTAAATACTGTAGTTGTTTTACCTGAATCAGAACATTGTTTGATCTAGCTGTGAATCCTATTCCGACTGTAAGGGGCTTTGGACAGTGGTCTTTCCTGTTCTCTCTTAGATTGTTTAATTGATGACATGAGGGATTGTATTTGAGACCACTACTGTACCATGGAAATAGTGGGTGCCATCACTGAATGATTTCTTAGTGCAGATGCAGGGAAGGCTGTTCTAATGGAATTGGATGAATACCACAGCTATAGCTGGGAGGCGTCTCAGGAAACTGGTCCAGTATATCTGCAGAGCTCCAGGTTCAGAAAGTCTGCTGAAATCTTTTCTTACAAATAGGTAAGAGGAAATAAACAAGGACAAATCTTGTTTTATATCTTTCAGTGGTGAATATTATTGTACAGATAGATTAGGAGCTATTATTTTAATTAAATACTGTCTTGGTTCCAGAAATTTTTATTGGTTTATGAAAATATAATGTAAAATATAAAAATACAAAAGAAAATAATGGGAAAATGAGGGAGACGGGAAGGGAAAAGTGTAGGGAAAGGGAAGAAAGAAAGAAAGAAAGAAAAGATGTTGACTTCTGACTCCTTTTGGTGCAGTAGAATAAGATAATAGCATCAAACCTCAACTTTTTACTTTTATATAATAACATAGATTAGCCATTTCTATAACAACAAACCTATCTAATTGGCAAAAGCCAAAATCAAAGCTTAATTTTTCCCCGCCTCAAGCACAAAGTCCAAAAGCCGTTTCCATGTAGAAACAAAATTCATTATGCTCTTTTCTTTAATCAGAGCAGTCAATTTGGCCATCTCTGCTAATTCCACCAACTTTTGCAGCCATTCATCCATTGTGGGAATCAAAGTGTCCTTCCATTTTTGTGCATAAAGTAATCTTGCTGCCATCAACAAAAGTATATAACATCAAAGTACCACTTTCCCCCAAAAAATCTTCTTCCATTAAACCCAAAAGAAAAGCCTCTGGTTTTATCTTTATATTCACTTTAACAATCTTCTGTATTAAGAGGTGAACCCTACTCCAATATTTCTTTGCTTTGTCACATGTCCACCAGATTAAATACTGTCTCAAGGGGAGTTTAAGTTGCCTTCTGTTGCCCTTTTAGAGTTTTCTCTCTTTTGGGTTTGAATATTTGAATATATCTCATGTTATGTTCCCACCTGTGTCAGTTGAACTCGTAGTGGTAGGTGCAGTTTCATTTCATAGACTAGATTATTGCTGTTTTACTGATAATGTATCAAGTTTCTGAATTAAGATATCAGTGCAGTTAACCAAAGCACACCCCAAAACAAGAAATTTAAAGTTTATGCTTGGATTTAAATATTGGATGGGGGAATCCAAGTGGAATCCGGAAAGAGTCAATTGACAAGTTTTGTGGTGAACCTAAGCCGCAACAATAAATATTTGTTAGTTTTGTATAACCAGATATTATGCAAATCAAACAGCAAGTGATAAATCAGAAATAATTACTCATAGAAATGATCATTATCATCTGCCATTTTGTTTAAATACGTATGCAAAGGATCTCACAAGCATGAAGAGCACAACTTTTCAGGCAGCTGGGATGAACACATTTATACAAAAAGACATATCAGCATTTCCCAAAGCCAAACTCTAGAATAATTAGGGCTTTTTGTATTTCATTAACTGGGACTTGATGGGGAGGTGCAAGTTTTCTTTTTTCCATAGCTTTGCCTACCATTGGAAAAATGCCGTATCGAGGGTTAATTCTAGAAATCAATCTATGCAATGTATAAACCTGTTTCTAATTTTATAACTTTTGTTTCATGAAATGTAGAAATAAACTTTATTTTACATTGATATTGGAGACTTATTTTGAATGGCATGTTGTCTGTCATGGTTCTTTCTCAAAGGTGACATTTATGAAAAGCAAAATATAATCCCATTTCTGCGTTGCAAACCTATCATGAACTAATAAATTATCACCAGATTTGAAGCAAGCCCCCTCCCTCTCAAGGTTCAGAAATGGACTCAAAATATATTTATTTAGTCAGGCTGTTGGAAGAAATGTCCTTCTGGGTTTAGTTCCAAGTGGGGAAAAAGACACTGGAAATATGGGAGCTGCTTGGAAAGATGGTTTAATGGTGGACAGGATCACATGGCTTGAGTTCCTCAACAGAAAAGGGGATCAGATTGTTCCAGATGTTGGGTGAAGAAGAAAAGAGAGCAAGATGCTGAAAGTTCCTGATTTTATGCCCTCTCTGGTCTTTCATCTTGATCTTGTATTCTGATTGGTTGTCAGACTCCATGCAGGGGCAACTCCGTAGGCTGGGCTTTGAGTCCAGGTTTGGTTGCCTTGATGGTTGATGTAATTTTCCCAGGTGCCTTCTGCAGAAGGCTAATCCTAATGTTACTTAGAGTAGACTAGCTCAGGCTTTAATGGCCCATTGACAAAAGTGGGGGTCGGGCAGGAAGCTGAAGGGAGCTACTTTGTCTTTCAAAACATGTTTCTCCCTTTTCACATCCAGGGAAATATAACATTCTGCCTTTTTAATATTTCCTAGGATGTTTCATTTTTCTAGGAGAGGGGTGGGTTTTAACTTCCTACAAGGCCAATAACAATTTAATATGTTTGTTTAGAATTCAGGGAGGGTTGGCTTTACAGTTCTTATTTTAGTGTTTTATTATTGTTTTTGTAGCATTTCTCATAGCCATTAAGGAACTGGACAGCATATGAACTGGTTAAACAAACAAGCAAACATATATTTTTTTTAATATGAAGAACTGTGTTTCTGCAATCTGGTTGGTTAGTATCAGATTTCCAGAGTGCAGTCCTTTGGAGCTATGAATTGCTGACCTCTGTTCTAAATGATTTTTCTTACAGCTGACTTTATATTTGGTTTGAATACTATGGGAATTTGTCCCCAAAGGAAAGGTCATGGGAAGATATATCAGATCTTTTTGCCTAAAAATTCAGCCCCACTCATTTTTATGTAGATGTATACCTGGTATCCCAGAAGCAGTCACCAAATAAATATCACCGATATCAGTATTGCAAAATTTTGACTGCCATATTACTTCTGGGACACTCCGCCTATAAACATGCATATATATAATCCACCATCACAGAAAGCATGAATGGGTAGCAACTGCAGTTGCACACTGATTCACAACTTATTATGAATGACAGTTCTACGGGTGGCTAAAACTTAACAGCTACTGTTGAAATGCTGCACATATAAGCTCATTTCAGGCCTCGTATATTGACTTTGACTGCAAGGGGAGTACATGGTATGTATTGACCAGGTGCAGAGGGATATTTCTGTGCTTCAGTCATAGAGGACTTTGAATTTTTGTGACTTTAGCTGGAGGATCAACATCCTGTGTAAACAAATAGCTTGGTGAAGAGCCGATCCAGTAGGGTTAGTGAATGAAAAGAGTATCATTCATTCTCCTTGGCAGTGATATCACTGACTTCTAAATTTACTAGTTGTAATTTGGAGCTGGGTTTAGTTCATGTTCTGAGATGCCAAGAAATGAGACGGGCAGGGTTGGATTACAGAGGAGGAGGGTGGGGATCTTGAGCCCAGCGAGCAGAATGATACAGCATGTCTCCAAGAAAAGAACAGGAAGTTCTTTTTTTTTATTTAGTATATCTTATTTTCATTTTCATAGACTCACATGTAATAGCAGTAGCAATAGCAATAGCAGTTAGACTTATATACCGCTTCATAGGGCTTTCAGCCCTCTCTAAGCGGTTTACAGAGTCAGCATATTGCCCCCAAAAACAATCCAGCCTTCGCGCCTTGAGTTTGGCACCCCTGCATTAGAAATTCAACTTTGTACCTAGGATCTAAGCTCAGGATGCTACAACTCTTGTAAGGCTGCAACTCTTTCTAGAATGCCGGGGATGTAATTCAGGGAGGCTCAGAGGTTTCCAAATTGTGTTGCGTTGCGTTGCAAACTCTGCAATCAAAGAGTGTTGCAAATTGTGTTGCAATCAAGAACAAGACTCAACTGTTTCTATCTGTTGGGCAGGTCCATGTATCGGTGA